AGGCCACATGTACCTATAGACTGTAGAGTATATACTGGCGCCTCAAAGTACCTATATAGGGACGACTTTAAGGTCTAGGTTTGGCGGCCTACGTTGAAGAGCGAGGCACATGAAGCCTTAAGGAAGGGGAGCAACCCAGACACACCAATAACCCTTCATCAAGGAATATACAGTACCCCAAAGTATAGAATGTGAATAAAAGTATATTCCTTTATTCTGGCCCTTATCAAGGAATATACACCCCAAAGTATAGAATATGAATAGAAGGATATTCCTTGATTATGGCCTGGGGAGTCACCCAGGCTTCTGTCTGCGATTCAAGGTCTAGCGTAAGTTGGGGATCTCGAAGGTCTGGGATTGTGGTTGTCAGTGTGGCATGGAAGACCTTACCCTGACACACAACTTCCCGAAGATGAGGATCCAGTCCACCACTGTGGGTTTCACTATTATATTGACATTATTCTTCTTCAACAATGCAACTTTGCTATGATGGTGGTGGTGATCGGTGATGATGATGCCTACGTCGTCTTCGAGGTATCGAGGCTAACAAGAAGCATGGTGATGAGGATAGTCATGCTGATCGTCGGGCGTGTGATGCAAACCTGATCCTTGCCGGCTCACCCGCAGCCTTGTTCTGGTTCACGTCCAGCCGCCGCTTGCGGAAAAAGATCGTCCAAACCGGCAGAAGCATCACAGTCACCGCGCCTTGTACGACACCTGAGGCTGACCAGAAGCAACGGCCCACGGGTTGCACATGTAGCTTAGGAGCCTTAAATAATTAGGATAGGGTTTTGGGGCCCATTATACTGTCATTATAACAAGGAACCAAAATAGTATTGGTAGGTATTCAGGCCCCTATGTTACTTGCCTCAAATAAACCCTGGGTCCGGAAACGTAAATCCTAAACGCTCGAAGATTCTTTAAACCGAGAGCACCAGCTTGAACTTAAACACCACACCCTAGATCGGGGGTGGTCACCCAGGCCTCCAAAATCCCCTCAATCAGAATAAATGTACCCTAAGTCGTAGTAGGATGCCTCATGTTATAAGGTACGTTCCTTGAACTATGTTTGGATCCTGGATATGATTTACGACATATTCTTCCCTTCAAGGGGCTTTGGAAGGCTTGGTTAATATAGGGGCCTTCATAAGTAGAATAGGATTTGGGGGCCCAGTGTACCATAACTATAACAAGGAACCCCTTAAAATAGTATTGGCAATTGGGTGGTTGTCAAAACTATGGTCCCTTTTGGGGTACCCTAAATATTAGGTGTCATATTATAATAAGGACTCAAAAAAGGACCCTAATATTGACAACCACCCAATTACGGCCCCTATAGTATTTCAAGACAGAAGACCCTGCGGTCCTCGAGCTAGTCAAGCCCCACGTAACGAGACCGAAGACATCCGGTTTGGTGTTCAGGTGTTAGGACTTAGGTTGGGTTTAGGGTTTAGGGTTTATGTAGGGCAGTTTAAAGTTTTAGGATTTGAGGGGATAGGGTTTAAAGGGCTTAGGTTGGGGTCTGGGCTTTACCTAGATCCCTGCCAGCGCCCTTTAGCTGAGCCCTTATGGTCCCATCTGTGGACCCAGCCCTAAGCCGAACTGCGGTGGCGTTACATGTACCGCAACCACAACCCAGACCAGCACTGCCACGAGAAACATGTCTTGCGCGTGCCCGGGTACAGAAACCTGAGTCAATAGATGCCGCCCTGAATAGGTTAAAAGCTCGTATGTCAGTGCAGTACTGCAGCAAACAGTTGGTGCAAGTATGTTTGTCGGACGGTGCATACGTATGTATGAATAAATACAAAGGCACGCAAACAAAGATGTGTATGTATGTGTGTGTATATATATATACATTATATGTATCATGCATAGAGGGAGTAGGAGGGACATAAACTTGTGTGACATATGTGTATAATATGTAGGTGTGTGTGTGTGTGTCGATGCGTGTGAAGTGCCGATGCGTGTGTCAACAAGCCCTTGTACGGCCTGTGGACACATATGTAGATGTATATATATATATATACACATATATATATATATGTATACAAGTATACACAGACTTTATAATTACGCACGCTGTGGCTGAAACCACGATGACACACACACACACTCTCTCTCTCTCTCTCTCTTTCTCTCTCTCTCTCTCTCTCTCTCTCTCTCTCTCTCTTTGTCTCTATTGCTTTCTCTCTCCGCCTCTTACATGTTACTTCCCCAGGTGACGTAAGTCGAGTTGCTATGCCGAGCAAGCCTGGCACTATCACCGTTGCTGCTGATTGGACCGTATAGAAACGACACACAACTAATCTAAACCTGTAGAAAGGACAGCAAACTAACCTAAATCCTAAACCCTATAGAAAGGACAGAACGCTACCTTCAACTGAGGATCCTATAGATACTGCAGAGACAAACCAACCTTCACCCTATAGAAACGGCAGCAAGCTAGGACCAAAACCCAATAGCGGTTCTGCAAAGGCACCCGTGGCCGTGATATAAACCGACCTCGCGAGATCATCCTAAAGGAACTTGTATGGGCTCGCTTCAGAGATCTGTAGGGGCTCCTGTAAGGGATCTATGTAGGCCCCTCTAGGGAATCTTCGACACGGCTGAAGTGCTGCATAGGTGGAGCACGGTGGAGGGGGTGGCGTGAAGTTCTTCGACTCGTTTCATAGCGTGTCTATCGGGCTTTATTAGTCTTGTAGGGCGGTGAAGGCTTGAAAAGGTAATTATTCTAGGAAAGGGATCGAATTCACACTTAAAACCGCACACGCAGGTATACCAGACTTTAGCCGCACCAGGGAACTCTAAAAGCACAAACAATGGCTCCGGATGTCGGATTAACAGTAATGAGCATGCCTACCTGCACGCAGGGATTAGAGCTTCGGGCTCATGGCTTAGGACGGCTTAGGATTCAGGGGCTTCCGTCTGGTTTGCAATAGGATACATGTAGGGCGTTTACGGTTGGCGGTTTGGGGGCTAAGGCTGTGGACTTTGGTTCTCTAGGATTACAGCGATTACAGCAGGATGTATGCTTGGGTCTGCAGCGCTCAGGGTGTCCATTATATTGCTTTCGGGTCAACCGAACCCTGGCTCTCGGAACAACTAAAGGCAACGAGCAGTTACAAACGCCGTGGCATGTAAACCAGGCCCTAATCAGTAGAATGGGCTTGGGGTAAAAAAGGATGCCCTCTAAAGTCTTCGACACCTCTTTCGTGCATACATCAAAACTTACCAACAAAATATACTGGTGTTACTCGCATCATTGCTTGGGCCCTTACACGGGACCACCTTCTTCAAGCTTCATCACAACACCAAGTACAGTAAACACTGAACCCTGACCCTGAAATTAGGACCTGAAGCCTTCATTGTAGCTTTTGTCAAGATACCGGCATACCGTATTCACATTCGATCCTAAATGGAGAAGTGATTAAAGCAGGAACTACATAGAAGACAACAGACAATACGAAATCCTACCTCCCAAAATCCCAAACTCTAGACCTTCATCCCGACAAAAGCCTACGTTCCTCATGAACCCTTTGATGTTAAGGGTAGCCGTCGTTCCTACGACTCTAACTGAGGGGCCCAGAATGAGAAAGGGCAAAAGGATACTGCTGGGACTGGGGATTTTATGGAAGGCTAAATTAGGTTCCTGAGTAGCCCCTTGAAAAAAAGGGCCATACTTCCTACGACCATATTTTCCTACTATTCGGGAAAAATAAGGGGACCCCAAAACAAAACGGGCAAAGGGGTACTTCAGGAACCTAGGGGATCTATGGAAGCCTAAAACCTGCCTCATGGCTCCGTTGAGGCCGCTAACGAAGGTGAAATAGTAGAGCGCACCGTTCACAAGCCTGGTGCAGACCCCCCGGGAGGATCTGTATAGAAAGAAGGTCCCTTTCAGGGGTTGCTATAAGTACCCTTTGAACCCTAAAACCCTTTAGACTCTAAACCCGAAAACCTAAACCGTAGGGGTACTAAATACTTTCTAGATCCTTTCCGGGACCTCGGGCACGAATTTTAGGGTTTACCGTAGGCTTCTCCTGGCGGGTCCTTGAGGGATTTAAGGGTTTCGCGTACAGGGTTTAGGGTGTTATGTAGGTTAAGACTTTGGAGAGTATATGATTACTGCGTACTTGGACCCTTGGGGTTAGGGTTTCCGAGCCTCCTGAGAAGCAATGTTAGACCTTTAAGTTCGTCGCCTTTCCGAAAACACCAGCATCCCTAGTAATTACCCAGTTACCCATGAGGGTGCATCTGCTTCTAACTGTCAAGCTTCGCGAAGGAGAACGCACGCCGAGAATGAGTGTTGATGAAATACATCCTGCAGTACCTTGAGGACCCTAGACTATGTGATTTATGGTATATTCCTTACTATGGGTAGTGCAGGAATTATATCATCAACCGTAGTACCCAGTTCCCCTGTCTTCTTTTGAGGAGAACGCCTCGACACGCGCAACATAAGGACACAAAAATGTAAGGATACTACCTGCAGACTCAGAAGTGAAATCTTCCCTCCGGCAAGATCAAATACTGTAGCACGATAAGAACGGCTTCGCGTGTATTGCAGAGGTTAGGGGTTTAGTGCTTTAGGCTTTTGGGGCTCAGGGCCTTGGACCCGGACATATATAAGGGTTTAGGGTTTAGGGTTTAGGGTTTGGGGTTTAGGGTTTAGGGTTTAGGGTTTAGGGTTTAGGGTTTTGCTGATGAGTCATGGTTCCAGATGGCTGTGCAACGCATGTCGCATGTTTGATGGTGGCTCCAGGGAAAGGCTACGAAAGTATGCCCTTGGGTCACCTAGTGCTTTTGACATAGCCAAAGCACATACAACTTTAGCGCGATGGTAACACCTGACACTTTTGTACATCTCAGTCAGAAGACATCGCAGTCAACACAGACATAGCTCTTTGTGCGTAAAACAGTGGGAGCTCGCGGTCGCACATGTGGTTTGCATTTGCGTGAATCTGGTGCTGCGCTGGAGTTTTGCCCATTTGTAGGTTATGAGCGCCCAATTACCACCAGAGGCGAAACCAAACGGTGTTGCCCCGCAATCAGTGCAGCGGCAACCGGAGGCTCCAGAGCCAGCTGGTCGTGGAGTGCAGCAGGCTGAGGGAGCAGTTCAGAGTGAGTTACAGCAGCATGCTCAGGGTGCTGGGCCGGGTTCGGCAGCACCTTTGGAGATGCGGAGAGCGATGGTCGAGGAGCCCCCTCGAGCTGCGGAGACCATACCTGCACTGGCGCAGGCGAGGCACAGAACAGAAGCCTTGACGATGCCAGATGCAGATGGGCGATCTGAGCTTGAGAATGTGAGCGCGACCAATACTGCTGTGAACTTGCAGAGTGGGTTTTTTACACCAACGGCTGCAGCGACAGTTAGAGGCCCTGCAGCGAACCCCTCGTGGAGGGGAAATATGGAAGTTCCAAGGTGGATGGTGAGGCTGTCCAACTTCTTGAACACCGGGGTGGGAACGCAGGCAGTGGATATTGCGCCAAGCCCTCTGCCAGGTGGAAGTCCTTTGTACTCCACACCACCAGGTGGTCATCCGTTTCGACTTAGGTCACCAAGTCGTGCTCGGGCGATTCCCCCAGTACCGACACCGCCGTCGAGTTCCAGTGTGCCAGCTGAGGCAATACAAGCAGAAGTTCAACGACAGCTACGTGGAATGACTGAGCAGCTTCGCCTGTATGAGCGGAAGAACCATCAGCTGCAGCAGGAGCTTGACGAAGTACGCGGGAGCCTGCAGAGCGAGCGAGAGCGAAGGCCCCCGAATGAAATTCCTACACTACCTCCCCAAGGACTTTTGGGTGATCTAGCTACAGCCTGCCTACATCCGGGAGCCCTTCCTGGCTTTCCTGAACGTCCAAGGGATCAGGCAGGTCTATGTGGATGTGTTACTGTACCTGAGAGTGTTAATGTACCTCGAGGTGAGAGCGCTCTATTTGGTCCCCCAGAACCAAGAGGTGGAAGTGTACCTGAAGGTTCTAATGTATGTCAGGGTGGAGATCCTCTATTTGGCTTTACAGTACCACAGGATGCTAGACGGCAGAGAGGTGATGATGCTCCGCTACCAGTACCTCCTACTGCCTCACGAGCAAGGCCCGCTGGAGATCCACCAGGTGATAATGGAGAGTCTTCGGGATTGTTGAGATCATGGTTTACGGGTCGTCCTCGTAGTCAGACACCTCCACCACCACAAGCAAGAGAATATTCTGAGTCACCAGTACTTCAAGCATTGGCCCGAGGAGTCCAGCAGCTTCAAGAACTTCAGGCCCAAGCATTGTCAAAGGCATCCACAACTGGACTTGCAGAGGTAGTGAAACCTGGCACGATCGTGTTGACAAAGATGCCTGAAGTTAAGGACGGTGCCGATTCGGCTTTGACATTTCAAGACTGGCTGGAAATATCAACTTCGGTGATGTCAGATATAAGCGAGGGAAGTGGTGAATGGTGGTCCGGCGTGATGACTCAGGTGGAGGAAACGTATGAGAGATGGTTGACGGCCTCACCGCTGGAGCGACTGGCGGTGGAGCCAGCAGACACTGATCTGTGGACGACTGGCAAGTGGAATAGGGTAAACGCAAGAGGTGCGTCGATGATTCTGAGCGCAATGACCGACTCCCTGAAGACTGATGTGGTGGCTCGTAGAAATACCCAGAACTGCGTGAAGATGATGTTCCGGGCGTACACGTACTACCAACCGGGAGGAGGTGCTGAACGTCAGGACATGCTAAGGCGTTTGCAGAACCCTGTGGACTATGTTGGTGGAGACACTGCAGATCAAGTACTACAAGTGGTCAGGTCTTGGCCCCGGTGGATGGAAAGATGCAATAAGGTTCGTATGACCCCTCCAGATGCCTCAGTACTAGCCCGTGGACTCACTGTGTTGACGGAGAAGTATATCAATCTGTCGACTGATGCCAGCTTCAGGACTTCGATGTTGAGGGCGAGTCTTCGGCTAGATGCACGGCCGACCGTGTTGCAGGTGCAGGCATACCAGCGCCATCTCCAAGCGGAGCTGGAGGCATTGATTGCTTCTGGAACTGGACAAGGAGCTCCGCTACCAAAGCTTAAAGCAGTAGACGCCCCACTACAACCCAAGGCTAGAGATGCTGGAGGCAAGGGCGCGAGTGGGAGCGAAGTATGCCGATACTTCGCTAAGGCATCAGGATGCAAGCGAGGTGAGCGTTGCAGCTATGCGCACACCATGGCCGGCATGGACAAGGAGGTCAGAGCAAAGAAGTGCCTAAAGTGCGGTGCTGAAAGCCACCGCGCCAAGGATTGCCCAATCGGGAAGGCGATCCCAAAAACCACGGCTACAAGTACGGCAACACCTCAGCCTAAGGATCAGAGCATACGCAAACCTCAAGCGGCTCAGCAAGACTCTGCATCCCTGAGTACTATGGCTACATCAGGAACTACAAGCACGGCTTCTACAATGGGAGATGTTATTCAGGGATCACCATGGACACTCGAAGCTTTGTTTCAAGCCGCGCAGCAGGTGGTCCAGACACAGACGTCAGAGTCGGCATCCGATACGTCTCCTGAGAAGACCCGGCCCCAGATGAAGGTCTTGCATCTCAGGGACATTCGCATCTGCAGCACAAAGGCAACAGCTACAGCGCTGGTGGACTCAGGAGCCACTCACGGACTCCGAACAGCCACCTCGGCTGCTGAGTGGGAAGCTGCGGAGGAGATTTCTGTTCAACTGGCTGGGCATCATCAGTTGGTTATGAGGATCACTCCTGGTGGAACGCTTTTGATGCCTCCTCGCAAGGTTTGTGGACGAGATCCTGCAGAGCCTGCCGGACAAACCATAGTTCCTATGGGGGAACTAATCAGAACACTGGGATATTCCATGTTCTGGAGCGCGGAGGAGTGCTACCTGGAAGAGCCCTCAGGTCGACGTATCCCGTTACAAACAGAAGGGGGTTGTCCTCAGATGTGCGAAATGGAAGCCCTTGCTGTTATTGCACGGCTGGAGGATCGACGGTTGGAGGAGCTGAAGAACGCCACGCTGCTTACCAGAGATCGAGTGGGTTTGGCGGCTGTGTCCATGGAGAAAACTTGGGATGCGTTTCTGCTGGATTATGTAGGGACAGGATCGTTCGAATCAGGTCTCCGTGCAGTACGTGATGCGCCGTTTTTCAGAGACCTCCCAGGCGAATGCCTGAGGTGGATGATTCCCACAGCTGGCCTATGGTGTGGATGGGATATCATGAAAGAGAGTGGATGTTTTACGAGAGCCCAGCGAAGAAGGATCCTGACATCCAAGCGGTGGGTAGTTCATCTATTTGCGGGGCGCGAAGGTCACTATGAGGTGATGAAGCTTGATCAAGGGGACACCATTGTGTTGGAGATCGATGTAGCCCGCTCGCAAGGCTTGGATCTACTACGATCTGAGGTGTGGAGGATGCTCCTTTGGGGAGCCAAAGAAGGAAAAATAGATGCTGTGATTGGAGGACCTCCTGGGAGAGCCCAGCAGCATGCAAATGGAGGTGAGCGTGATGTGCGGTCGGTGTCACTGATTGCTCGGATGCTGTGGCTGCATGCAATGGCGCAGGTAGGACGAGAACTCAATGGTGGTGCTTACAATCACAATCGCGAAGTGGCCTTCATGCTTGAGTACCCAGAGGGCATCACTCCTGAAACCCGAGCTTTGTTCGAGGAGGAGATCCTCAGGGCAGAAGGAGCTAGTAGAGTTCCCAGAGGCAAGGCTGGACCAGCAACCTGGACAGAGACTCAGACGTACTGGGAAACCGTGCAAAGGCCTAGACTTGAAAGGCTAAAGGGAAGGCCCACCATGGACGCAAGTGCCAGTTTTTGGGACACTCGAATGTGGAAGCTCTACCAGCAGCGTGAGGGTTTAAGACTGGTGTCGTTTGATCAAGGAGCTACAGGTGGAGGGTCGCGGAACAGAACTACACTGGGCACCAATATTGCTAGTCTACTGTCGTTAGATGGTCTTCGTGTACCTGAAGATGATCCAATGCCTGAGACCTCCAGCAGCGACTACATATGGTCTCAGGGATTAGTGAACGCTGTGGTGGTTGCCTTAAGCTTCTGGGATCGAGATCCTCGTTGTGCCCCTCGGCTACCAAGGGTGCAGGCAATGTCGGCGGCCCAATGGAAGCGCCATGTGGAAGGGAACCACGAAGTGTACAGAAAGGATTGCGTGACGTGTGTGACAGCTCGTGGAATAGGTCGGCAGCATCGCAAAATCCATCATCCTGAAGCTTATGTGCTCACTGCAGATGTAGCAGGACCAATAGCTCCCGGGCTAGATCCAACTTCGAAGGGAGCAACAGGAAAGAATATCAAGTACCTCCTGGTTGCAAAGTATGTGGTTCCTAAGGCCTATGTGGAGCAGCACTTTGGAAAGGCACCTCCTCCCGATGATGGCATTCCAGTTGGCGATGCACAAAAGGACAAGAAGGGTGAGGAGTTGTTCCCAGAGCTGTTTGGTGATGATGCATTGGAAGTAGATGACCCTGAAGCTTCTGCAGAAGTTGTTCATGTTCCAGAAAAGGGAAGTCCAGACTTGCTTGACGACTTGGAAGAGTATGAGCCTTCCCTCCCAGGTGACGGTGATCCTGAAGGGGAAATTGAGGAGGAGAATCCTTCGAAGAACCTGGTGATGCAGCATGGTGACACATCGCCTCCAGAGTTGACCTACCTCACGTTTGCCGTCGGCCTCACAAACAACCAAGCTGGGACAGTGAAGCGAGGGTTACAAGATATTGTTCTCTACTTACAGATGCATGGTTTTCCCGTGTACCGCTTCCATTCCGACAAGGGTGAGTTCTACAATCACCAGTTGAGGGCCTGGCTTCGTGAACAGGGAGTATTTGGCACATGGTCTGAGCCCGGAGTTCCACAGAGCAATGGACGGGCTGAGGCAACAGTCCGGTGGGTGAAGGATAGCATCCGCACATATTTGGCGAGTGCGTCATTGCCGGTGAGGTTGTGGCCCACAGCAGCGGAGGCAGTTACAGCAGCTCAGAGAGCAAAGGTCCTTGGGTGGAAAAGCCACTTAGCAGCCCCCTATGGTGCAACAGTACACTTGCGGAAAAAGGCCTTCGACAAGTACGGTCCTTTGAAGCGAGAGAACACGTTGGAATCGAAATGGCACAAGGGTGTTTATGTTGGTTTGAGCTCGATTCTTCATCATGGACACCTGGTCTATGTTCCCGGTGACGGAGTGGACAAGGAGAAGTTCTTTCATACGTTGCATGTGCGTCCAAACCTTGTAGACCCTGGACAACCAGAAGTAGAGTTGCGCGCAGATGACAAGGTGAAACCAAGGAGACGTGTAACAGAGAAGACCAGCCCGGCAGGTGTTGAGATGAAGAAGCTCAAGGCAGAGAACAAGGACCTAGGATCACTGGCTACAAGTGAAGCTGCCAAGTTACTTCAGAGCTGGGATGTGGAGGAGGCCAAGGAGTTAGTTGTCCAGCTTGCTCGTGAAGGATTCTTTGATGCTCAGAAGTTCGGTGTGTTTCGGCATGGTGGTACAGTTGGATGGATGACTGGCTTGCTTGAGTACCCGGAAGTGTCAAAGATGCTAGCGCGAGTGGTAAAGGAGAGCTGCCCGCTGGCATCGTTCACGTCCATACTGGTGTCATGCAATGTCTCCAAGGCTATCCACAAGGACTTCAACAACGATTACCAGACCAAGAACTATGTGGTCCCATTGACAGTGCCAGAGTCGGGAGGAGAGTTGTGGGTTGAGCTAAAGGAGGGAGATGTTGTTCAAGGCCATATAGAACGACGTGAGTCTGGAGGGAAGCAAGTCTATGGACAACTTCATTCACTACGACCTGGTGAGGCCATAGAGTTTAGTCCAGCGCGATACCATGAAGTGATGGATTGGACAGGCGAGCGGGTTGTTATCATTGCCTACACTCCGAACTGCCTAGGAAAGCTGTCGCAAGAAGATCTACAGCAGCTCCACGATCATGATTTTCCAGTTCCTTTGTCACAGCTACCTGAGTTCCATGGAAGCATGACCACAGAACCATTGCCAGTTGGTGTACGACAAGTTCAGGTACCATGGGAGAGTGAGCCTGAGTTTGAAGCACTGGATGCAGGTGATCATGGGTGGTCAATGTACTTGGACCTCGAGCCTGGGCTTGTGAAGATTGCCGACTATGACAATAAAGGGAGCACTCCTAGGATCAGCAAGGCCGAGGTTGGCTACACCCGGAACATTGAGGATGTGTTAAAGAAGCTGACGGCACCCCTTGATGTAGTTCATAATGTCAGTCCCGATGAGGTGATGTCGAATCTGGAAGAATGGCGTGGAGCAATCACCAAGGAAGTTCAGGGGGTGAGCGTTGCTATTGAGCGCCTATCCCCAGGCTCTCCATCACGGAGGAGGTGGTTGAATTTACCAAAGGCTCAGCGTCTTCCGATGAAATTCGTGTTTACGGTGAAGCCCAATGATGGAGCAAAGCTTGATCAGCCAGAAACCTGGTTCAAACGCAAAGCTCGTCTTGTTATCTGTGGAAACATGGCAAAGTATGAGGAGGCGTCCTTGTATGCAGAAACGGCGCCAGCAGAGGCAGTAAGAATGGCCTTGACAGTTGCTTCGAAAAACCAGTGGCTTATTGCTATACTGGACATAGTAGCAGCCTTTCTCAAAACCCCGCTGGGGAGGCTGGATACCGACCCGGTTGTAGTGGCACAACCACCCAGGTTGCTGGAAGCACTCGGGTTGATAGAACCCATGGAGCTTTGGGGCCTGATCAGGGCCTTATATGGTTTGAGAGAAGCCCCAATGCTGTGGACCAACTACAGAGACTCGACTATGAAGATGCTTCGTGCTCCAGCTGGTTTGTCCTGGTACCAAGGGAAGGCAATTACATCATGGTGGACGTTGCGTGACAAAGATGGACGAGTATGCGGCATAGTTGTGGTGTACGTGGATGATTACATGGTGTGTGGCCCTCGTGACGTCGTGTGTGAAGTATCAAAGATTATTCAAGAAGTGTGGGACACCTCAGAGTTGACATTTCTTGGCCCGGGAAGCTCAGTGCGTTTTCTGGGTATGGAGCTTCACAGGGAGACTGAATCCAGTGATGTGATCACTGTGTTCCAAAAGGGTTACATCCTGGAGCTTTTGAGGTCACACAGCATTAAGCCCACGCAGCTGGACCGTATACCCATTACCAAGGAGTTGTCGCTTATTCCCGAAGAGATTGAGGAGGCGACCAATGATCAAGTACGACAAGCACAACAACTTACAGGAGAAGCTCTGTGGGTGTCGCAGCGCACGCGTCCGGACTTATCCTACACGACGTCTATGATGGCAAGTTTGTGTACCAGAAGTCCTTCGCAAGTAGTGGCGATTGGGAACAAAGTGCTGGGCTATCTCCAAAGGACAATGGGATATGGATTGAAGATCCAGTGGGAAGGCAAAGGGCTGGTGATGTATTGCGATGCAGCCTATGCTCCCCAAGGAGACCGCTCGCATGGAGGATGGGTGGTGACCTACGGGGGAATTCCCATTGTATGGCGGAGTGGACGTCAGCAGATGGTTACGTTATCTACAGCTGAGTCAGAGTTGCTTTCGATGATTGACGGAGCGGTTGCAATGATGGGTGTTGAGTCACTGCTGGCTGACATTGGAGAGCAAGTTACAGAGCGTGAGATAGCTTCTGATAGCATGGCAGCGCTGAGTATCTCCTCGGGATCCAGTTCTTGGAGGACAAGGCATTTGCGCATAAAGGCCAATTGGCTACAAGAGAAGTTGAGTCATGGTCTGATGAAAACTCGACATTGTCCAGGTGAAGTACAACCAGCAGATCTACTTACCAAAGCCCTGAGCTATGCAAGAACAACGTCACTACTGGCTTTGTGGAATATAGGGGAACAGACCATTAGAACCACCTCGTCAGTGGCAAGAATGCAGTGTACATCACGTATGACGGTGGCATTGGTCTGTTGCTTGCTGGTGGTTTCAGTTCAAGCAGCCGAAGGTGAGCCTAGTCAACCGAGGGAGTCAGGTATTCAAGTCGACCGAGATTTGGTTGGGTCCCTGATGATGGGCTTGATGGTTTTAGGAGCTCTTCTTGTATGGGAAGGTCTCAAGTGGTTGGGACAGGAAGTGTACAATGAGTATACTCCTGGAGCGTCTGCTAGAAAGCTGAGAAGATTGAAGAAGTTGCGTGAGGCAACCACAGCTGCTATTGAGCAGGAGCTTGAGCGTCTTCGGACAGAAGGTCAATTTCAGGGAGGACCAGAACCAATGAGGCCGCAACCTTCTTCATCCTCTACTACAAGGTCAGGGAGACATGATGCTACAGCCCACCGCGCACCATCACCACCAAGAACCCCTAGGGCAACTTCACCTCCGGCGACTACCAGAATGAGATCCTTAACACCACCAAGGGCCAGGGTCCAATTGAGGACTCCAGGGTCTACGATGTCACCTGGTTCAAATGGTGATGTTTCAGCTTCAGAGCTGGCTAGAGTGTGCGAAGACGTGTGCAAGTTGATGACATGTGAAAGCTTGAAGGAAGGGCTTCGCACCGAAGGTTTGGCAGTCTCTGGACTAAAAGAAGATCAGGCTCGACGGTTGGGCCAGCGGCTAGCAGAGCTGGCTGATGGACCGACAAGCCCAACAGCTCGACAATGGCGGTATGTCTTGTGGCTTTGGCGTCATAAGAACTTAAGTGGTCGTCATGTTGTTCGCTATTGTGAAGTGAACCACCGAGAGCGCATCTCGGCTTTGATTTCTCTCTGGAACCGTTACTAAAGCTATCAGTCACTACCTGGCGGCGTGACAGAGGAGGAGTGCTGATGAGTCATGGTTCCAGATGGCTGTGCAACGCATGTCGCATGTTTGATGGTGGCTCCAGGGAAAGGCTACGAAAGTATGCCCTTGGGTCACCTAGTGCTTTTGACATAGCCAAAGCACATACAACTTTAGCGCGATGGTAACACCTGACACTTTTGTACATCTCAGTCAGAAGACATCGCAGTCAACACAGACATAGCTCTTTGTGCGTAAAACAGTGGGAGCTCGCGGTCGCACATGTGGTTTGCATTTGCGTGAATCTGGTGCTGCGCTGGAGTTTTGCCCATTTGTAGGTTTAGGGTTTAGGGTTTAGGGTTTAGGGTTTGGGGTTTAGGGTTTAGGGTTTAGGGTTTAGGGTTTAGGGCCTAAACAGGATGCACAACCAGATTGGAGCAAGCACTGAAGGAAGTCCTTCATACTCTCTTCATGCGTTGCGGAATCAGCTTCCTTCTGCACCCTAGACCAACGCACCCAGACCTTCCAAACTCCCTCACTTCAGGAGTATACCTGAAATTATAACAGGACCCCTCATATGAATTAAGGTAAATTCCTGTAATTAGTTTAGAGCCATGTAGATCCCTTCTTGCACGACCCAGCCAGGCCAAATCTCTGAACACTCAAAGGGCATCCACAGACCACGTGTGACGGAAGAACCCCAGCCAGCGGAGTGCGCGTAGCCCGGAAAGGATTCAAACTGTGGTCTTTGCTTTCCGCTTGCCCGCAAGTGCACTCCAAATCCTACAACACCTCCTTCTGAATCCTACACTTCCTGGACCTCTCATACACTCTGAACCCGAGACCCGAAACGGTAAACTCGGCACAGCGGCAGCGTGTTCACGGCTCCGTCGAAGAAGCGATACGTACAGAGAAGCCGGAAACTCGGCAGTTTCAAGACCTGGCGATTTCGGGTTTGGGACTGAAGCTTGTTTGATTTAGGGCTTACCCAAAGGCCCCAAAGTAGTTCCTTTTTGGGGTTCGTATATAGAATCCTAAAAAGTAATCCCAAAAAGGAACTACTTTGGGGCCTATGGGTATAAATATGATTTAGGGGCAGGGTTTTGCGGGTAGCTGGTTCAAAGATATTTCGGGTTTAGAGATTAAGGCCTTGGGGTTTCCTGCTTATTGGGGCTTACAGTTGGGGTTGGGGCTTGCTTAGCGTTTGTTTTGAAAGCTTCCTTCTTGCATCTATAAACATCTACAAACTAGACTGAACTTGGAACCCTAGCGAAAATGATAATTTAAGCTGTTGCTTAGGGAATATAATAACCAAGAATTAAAAATCATTTCTAAGTACCCCTAAGTAAAGGTCGTGCTTCAGGGTTTCAAGGGTTTTGGCTCGAGGCAAAGCCTGAACCAACTCTTCCTTTCGTTGCCGCAAAACCCCCACGAGCCTCAAGCCTCCGAGCTGAACACAGGACTCTGAAATACCGAATCACAAAGCATCTCGCAAGAAAACGGTGTAGACACTGTAACCCTAAACCTTTAAGTAGACGGCTAAACCAGAAACATAACCTCGATAATCTACATCCTAAACCCCAGCCGGCAATCTTTAACTTCTGGCCCGGCCCGTGCCCTTGATACCCCGTGCCGAAACCTTCCGATACTTGGAGCGTCAGGGGGGCTGAGTAAGCAGCTCTCCAGCAGGATTACATGTAGGATAACCCCAGTTATAGGGTCACTTTCAGGGTGCTTGCAACTCCGCTTCTTTCCTGCTAAGTCAGTCACCGTCCAAGTACACTAGGCCTCGACAGCAAGCCCATATGGGAAGTTGTCAAAATTGGGGTCCCTTCATGCGTCCCTAATATAATACGGCACCTAATGCTTAGGGTACCCAAGAAGGGACACAAATTTTGACAGCAAGTCCGCACAGCGCGAAGCCTCGAGGTATTCCCAAAGGAAGCAGCCAGCCAGAGCCTTTCACCATCTCTCGTGCTAGGGTTTAATTAGGGTTTATCTGAGAGTTTCCGAAAATTAGGGGTACCTTATTTTGGGGTCCTTATAATAGGGATCCTACTATTTTGGGTATTTTTTTAGGTTCCCCCATTTTGGGAAACTCTCATCTCTCGCGTTCTCCATTGAACCCATATTCTGTTGATTCAGTGAGCGGGGGAAGTCAGATTGATCAAGGGGATTCTAAGGCCATATCGGATAAGACGCGGAAGCACTAACCACAAAAAAGCCTGCAAATGGACGACTACATAACGCCCTGCACCTGTAGGTTGTTTCGTGCAGGGTTCCCGGCTAAGAAGTGTTGGGCTTTGCCTCTAGAGCTTCCCGGCTGCAGTAAACCCCTAAAAGGATGCGACGTGGAAAAGTAGTGATTGGTGCGTAGATTCCGCTTGCTTCGAGGGCAGGAGGACATATTTGGGATTGTATATGACTTACTATCAGCATTACAAGGAAGCCTGAAGATAAATCTTGGTCATTCTTCAGGCCACTATACCATATGCACCGTAGAAGTTCCTGTTGGGGAGATTCATATCTAGAACCCTCTAAGGTAATCCCCAAAAGGAGCTACTATGGAGCCCATGGGTAGCTCGTAAATTAAGGCTCCGAGGCTCGGATGGACACCCTACAATTACGGTCTGGCAGGGTAGAGTAGGAAAACACTCATTATTCATACCCCAGTGTTACACTTGTTTGTATCCGCAAAACTCGTGCAGTAAGCTTCTGAGGCTTAGATGGAAAGCAGCAAGTACGGGAAGGTTCTGGCAAGGTAGAGTCCGAAGATACTGTTGATGATATAAACCCTGCATTACCTTAAGGACCCTAAACTATGGGATTTATGGTATATTCCCTTTTATGGGTAATGCAGGATTTATATCATCAACCGTATTTGTGGTCCGTTGCACTATACCTCGGTCAGGGTCTCACGACTTTCGGGCTTCAGCTTCAGGGTTTCACTTGGAGGGGGGGGAGAGGGCGGATATCACAAGCATGCGTTTAGGGTTCAGGCTTTTGTACTTTATTTTTTAAAGTGCATTAATGGACCCTTTCTGCTGCCTCGACCCTGCCTTGTGACAGGCTTTTGTGATTGAGGTGTTCAGGGTTTAGGGACGTTGGAAAGCATGCGCTGAGAAGTGGAAATAAGCAACTGCGAGTATGAAGGACACTCTGCCATCTGTATGTGCATGTGTGTCGACGCCTACATACATACCCAACATACCTACGTATATGTCTACCCCATGACAAGACCCTCGTTACACCGCAGTTGTCATCCGGGGGTGGTGCGCTTGTGTTATAACCATATACAAATACAAATAACAATAATGATAATCAAATGATATTAGTTGGCTCAATTAAGATGGTTATTGTGGCGCTTATTCAGATTTGATATCTTTGAAAACGATATTTACATGTTTTTGTATTCTATCATGTTAGATTGGGATGCATTCTCATACGTCAGTCTATGCGCCAAGGTATCTTGTATTAAATTACGCTTTATGCATGCATGCATGCATGCATGCATGCAGACATGAATACATAGATAGTTATGGTAGACAGGAAAACTGACAGAAAGACAAAAATGGATAGATGGATCGACATGGATAGATGGATCGACAGACAAACAAAAAGATAACACTCTCGGGTTGTGTGTGGAGTGAAGCAGGGGTGGTTGAGGAGAAGCCCCCAATTACTCCCTAAGCCCCAGAGGGCTTAGACCCCCCAATAATTTCCAAGGTAGAATGCAAATTTCCTGGTAACCATGCCCTTGGAGGGTCCTGGACCGGCCCAATCGATGTACTGTGTAGTTGTTTCATTTCTACACCCACAGCACCAAGTTTAAACCCTTAATCAATGCTAAACCCTAGACCTGCATCAAGCAAGCTGGTCCGGCCTCCTTGTTGTAGGATTGCCTGGCTTGCCTGTGGCAGGCGAAAGACGTAAGGCGCAGACCCCCAGGGCATAATGTAACCGCCTAAAGAAGTAGAGGGGGAGTTTTGAGGTATACTATAGCATTATAGTATAGGTATATGTAATTAATTTTGAAGACCCTTGAAGAGTAATTGTTGTTGGAATTCCATT